TCTACCTTCCAGTAGATGAGGCTTGGGGGGGGGCGCAGTTGCAGGAGGGGGAAATGGTGTCCCCCTCATCTGCTACATCTCCTGGGCTGCTGTGCCATGCCTCCACCACCAAGTCCAGCTCAGCCTCCACTCCTGGGCTGCTGTGCCTCAGATGCTGGGCTTGTTCAGAGTGTGCTTTTTTCCTTTGGGGGAGAAATTTAACCCCTCCACTGTTGTTGTTATTTAAGTCAGATTTTTCTGCACATCTGGTGAGTTCCAAGTGTGCAGAAAAATCTCTTTAGCCTCTATGTGGCCCAGATCTGCAGATGTTGCTATCCGCCAATGGGGGCCGCAGGCAGCTATTGAATATAAGATGAACTCGCAGGGCTCTTTTTGTAGGAGGAACTCCTTTGCATATTAGGTGACACACCCCTAATGTAGCCAATCCTCCAAGAGCTTGAAGGCTATTCTTACGCTTGTTACCTCTTCAAATAAACTGTAGAATGGTAGCAGCCACCTACTTTATATTCCTGAGGTTTTAGCATGAAAACACAAACGTTTTTACCTTTTTAATTCTGGAAGGCTATGTGCTTCGATTTTGTATGGGGAGAGCCTGTATCCATTAAGGCTTATGCAAGGAAATGAACATGAAAACCCTTAGAATTGTCATGGGCTGGAAACTGACGTGTTTTATGAATCTCACCCATCCAAATGGGAACATCCTTCCTCTGTCTCAACATGGTTATCATCTATGATCATGCAAGTGACCTGAAGAACTTTTATACTGAAGCTGAAGATATTAATTGTGAGTTGCTGTGGGACAAATCCTGAGCCCTCACCAGTGCTTCATTCCAGTTGCCTAATTCGTTATTTTACCAGGTTTATATTCAGACGACAGGATAGAAATCATATTCCAAATTGTACTCTGAAAGTGTTTGTGCTGAAAACACTTTTCTTCATTCACTTTTGAAATTGTGTCTTACAGATTAGAAAATGCTTTTTATGAACATGCACAGACCTATTACTATACAGAAATACGAAGGGTGAAATCCCATAAAGAGTTCCTCAACAAAACAACACATCAGGTATAGTAGCTGTATCTTTGCCTACCTTCTGCTGTATAAGGGCCCCGGTCACACGGGCCAGATATCGTGGGGGGGAGGCGTGGCTGTTTGCCCCAGAGCGAACTACCGTGTGGCAGCCAGATCAAACGTCCCACTGGACGTCCCACCAATGTCCCGTGGTTGGGGGGAGGTGCCGATCATCCCTCAGTCCTGCGGCGCGGCAAAGAAGCAGCGCCGCGGGGGTTGTGGTTTTTTTTTTGGCCAAGTGTTTGCATGCGCCGTTGGGTGCTTGTGCGCACCCATGGAGACTCGACCAAAAAAAATTTTTTTCGCGACGGGACATGGGCGGGCGGCGGATGCCATGAGCTAACACCGGAAACGTGATCTGACGCCCGCCCTTGCCCTGCACTTTCCAGAAACTAGTACCTCGGAGGTACTAGTTTTTTTACAGCGCATCTTCGGAGTGAAGCCTCGGGTGAGCCATGGGAGCTCTACGCTTCCCATATGTGGTGGTGAGATCGCGCCCGGAAAATCCGCCTATCTTCCATCTCTCCGTGTGACCGGGGCCTAAGTCATGTTTTTGATCATGATAGAATGAGTTTAAGCAAAGAATAACCTTCCCACCCTAGATCAGTATCTTAATAAGCTTTAAGCCTGAAGCAGGAGACTCCTACACATTGAAACTCTTTGGTGTTGTTTCAGCTCAGAAGTTTATTAATTCCTGGTAGGATTAGATGGTGTTGTCTCACTCTAGGCATTTGATGCTGAAGCTTTCTGTCATTCTATGAGCACTGAAAACCATTAAATTTAGAAGGTGAGGAGGCATGAGAGCACCCGTGATGCTTCACAATGTCATGTGCCTGGCACCAACCTTCTGTAGTATTGCATAGGTTATAATCTTGGTACTGTTAAGACTGGTGGTTGCAATTCTGAAATGTTACCCACTGGTTGTGTTGCAGCTTCTGTTTGTCAGACATCAGTTCAAAATAGCGTTCTTCAGTGAGTTGAAGCAGGATACGCAGAATGCACTGAAGTAAGTACTCCTGGCCCAGTGAGAGAGCATCTGCTTTGCATTCAAAAGATCCCTGGTCCAATCCCCAGCATCTCCATATAGAAGTGTCAATATTAGGTGATGTGAAAGACCCTGGAGAACAGCTGCCAGGCAGAGTAGACAATACTGACCATGGTAAGACCAACATTCAGTGTAAAACAACTTCCTGTGTTCTTTGCCCAGGGGATTAAACTATATTCCTTCCCAACAAAGAGAAGGGGGTTCCTCCATGTGTGGAAGAGGTGTGAGGGAAGAGCGCGCCAGGCAGAGTAGACAATACTGACCATGATAAGACCAACATTCAGTATAAGACAACTTCCTGTGTTCTTTGCACAGGGGATTAAACTATATTTCTTCCCAACAAAGAGAAAGGGGTTCCTCCATGTGTGGAAGGGGGTGTGAGGGAAGAGCACCTGTCTGTGGCAGTTCTTTAAATACTCACTATTGAGCTTCTCCAGCAAACTGGTTATGAGAGAAGTATGGGGTACTCCACTAGATTTGAGTACCGTGGTGTCCTGTGGTGCCCCCTACCGCAGTAACTGGAGGAGGACTCGCATTGTGTCCTTTCATTCCAGCATGGTAGATGGATCCATATACGTTCAATTGAAATACTGCTGCTGCTTTCCTCGTGTCATTATTTGAGAGGAGCTGCAGCAGTGCACAAACTGAAAGTTTCAAATGGGGTATTGGCTTGCCACCTTAGAAAGTGCCTCAGTGTGTTATATCCCAGAGGGATCAATTACTTGTGCTGAGGAGAAAAAAGAGTGGGGCCGGTGTTCCCTCTAAGCTGAGTTAGTGTGAGCTAGCTCACAGTTTTTTAGCCTCCGGCTCACGCATTTTTCCTTAGCTCAGGAAGAACGACTCCAGAGCAAACTAATTTATGGAGCAGCCAAATCATTCGCTCACAACTTTAATGCCAGTAGCTCACAAAGTAGAATTTTTGCTCGCAAGACTCCACAGCTTAGAGGGCGCATTGGGTGGGACTAGCATTTGTTCCATCGTTTTTGGACCCTTCTAATTGATGGTGTTTGTCTCAGTGGATTTCTTTTTCTGCAATGAATGGACAAGCTAAAATCAACAACCTTTCTTATTCAGAAACTACAGAACTGCATATAATCTGGTACACGAGTTGAGAGCTCATGAAACAAACATGCTGGAAATCAAGACGATTGCAGGATTTATAAATTACAAGGTAACAAAGGCTGACTTTTAATCTTTATTTCATAATATTAAAAAATGTAGAATAAAAACTTGAGGACTACTACACTTGTGGACGTATTGTGTGCTGCTAATTTAGTGGGACCTTATCAGCCCTAAGATGCCATGTTGTGTTTTCCTGAAAAATGCCCTCTGGCAAGCATGCTTACAGAGTGATGTTACATATGATACCCTGCAGTTCTGTAGAATCAAATAACTATTTTCTGTCGATCCGGGTTCTTCAAAGAGCCATCCATGGACAGGACTGGGAAGACCAGTTTCAAATCCCCAGTCAGCCATGAAGTAGTCAGTCTCTCTTAAGTCTTAACTTACCTCACAGAGTTGTCAGAGGGATAAAATAGAGGCTGGAGAACCATATGTAATCCCATGAAGCCCATGGGGGACAGGGTGGTTAAAAATATGACAGATATCCTATTGGAGGCCTGCTGATAATACCACCACCTTGGCAATTAGGTGCCTTCTAATACTTGTTATGATGTGTTGTAGCATAGATCTGGGCTATAGGATTTGAGGGCAAGGGAGTTTTGACTTAGGCTTTCTCCAGCTAGGATATCCAAAGCATGAAGGCAATATAAACGTTTTGGCTACATCTACTGTCTTTACTGTTTTTGCAACCGGAGTCATAAACAGCAAACCCTCATCCTACAATAAACCTCATTCCACAGGAAAGCATGGAAGAATTTAAAGGTTGCTACTGCAAAAGTTGTCGTGATTTGACAACACCTGCTAGAAATTCTGCCACACGCAGAGTAGTTTGTTTGTCTTCGTCTCTAAGTAACCAGAATGATTCTGCTTCTGAAGAGAGGAAGTCCTGATTAAATAAAGGGGAGATGAGGTCTTCTCTTAGAGCTGAAAATTTGGGACAATCAAGCAAAATATGATCCACAGAGTCAGTTTTACTGCTGCTGCAATTACAAAGTTCTGAGTATGAAATCCCATTAAATCTTCCTGACATCACAGCTGAAGGTAGAGCATTCAGGCACGCTAGCATGAATATCGTTTCTAAACTTTGGAAGAATTATCTCAGATAAGTGTTTTTGGCATTGTTGTTGGGAGGCTGAATGCCTACTTGAAAAGGTTGAGCACACTCTGTGGGCTCTAATCGATGTGCTCTCGTAGTCAAAGTCTCTCAAACGTCTTCTAACAAGCTGTGGAAGTTCTTGTCTACTCGTGACTTCTATGTCATGGGTGATACAACGTAGATGTAATCATTTATGGTCCAGTAATCTGTCCCTTGTGTGATGGTCCAGCTTAACTAGTCCGAGGAGGTTTAGATCTGGGTTTGATTTATGGTCCAGTAATCTGTCACTTGTGTGATGGTCCAGCTTAACTAGTCCGAGGAGGTTTAGATCTGGGTTTGATTTTTCCTGCATATAACGAAAATTTATGTTGCGTTCATTTTAGCTATATGCAGGAAAAAATCGAATCAGTTCCTTTTCCCATTTAATGCTCTGAAGGCTTTTAAATTATGGAGAGGGGAGTGATGGAAAGAAACAGAAAATAGAAAACTAACTTTACATTCTTCTGTGTTTTGTTAACCTGCCCACCACAATTGTATTATCTTACAGTTGCTTCTATGATTATGAGGTTTTAATCCAAGTGTTCTGACCTTGAATCTTTTTAGATTTGCCGACTGTGTTTTCAGCATAACACACCCCTGGATGCGATTGCGCAGTTTAGGAAACACATAGATGTGTGCAAGAAAAAAATTGGCAGTGCAGAGTTGGCTTTTGAGCATGCCGCCTGGATGTCCAAACAGTATGTTGCTTTACAAATAATACTGTGATTAGTGAATGGGTATGCAGATTCCATCTGAAATTATTTGTTTGCAGTGTGCTGTATGATCTGTATTGTCTCCAGCATTAGGTGCAGAGGTAGTTATGCAATGAAGTAGTATACCTAAAGTAAGTGAATTAATTGGGATGTCAATCAGATTTCTCTCATCCACGCCTATAGGACAAAACAAATTTTAGCATCTTGTTCTGATAATTTGGACTTACTTGGTTGGATCCAAATAACTAGGACTGGGCGGGGGGAGTTGACTCTTATTTATACCACTGCCAAATGTGAGCTAAGGGAAACAAAGTTTGCAAGTGTTCCAGGGCCTGTTTTGGCTCTTGAAAGTGTTACTGGGGTGAGTAGAGGCTCCTCTTCCCCACTGTGCCACAGCCCCAAGCTGAAATGAGCCCTGATATGCCTGCAAATTTTGGTCTGACCTGACTCATGGCCAAACATCTCATCTAGTTTGACCCTTACTCCCATAGCCACGAGAAGTGAAAGCTTCCCCTGCCCCCATTAAAATTGAGATTCTGGCAAAAGGTCAGTGTGCTGTAAATTCTGCAAGTTATATTTGTCTCCTGTGCTTCAGATTGTGCTCCACTGAACTTTCTGGAGAATCTACAAAGTCTGGTAATTTAATTGTGAAGCCAGTGTGATGTAGTTGCTAGAGAACAGAAGCAGAAGCAGGGAGACCTCTCCAGGGTTCAGTCTCTCCTCTGCCATGAAGCTCACAAGGTGATTGTGGGCCAGTATCTCTCATTTCCTCTGCCTTAACCTACTGTGGATTTGTTGTGAGGGCAAAATAGAGAAGGGAAGGACCATGTTCTTGGCCCTGATCTCCTTGGAGAAAGCAAGGGATAATAAACAAATCATAATATGTCTATTCTTTTTTAAATACAGATTTCAGGCTTTTGGGGACTTGTTTGACGAAGCTATCAAATTAGGGCTGACAGCTATTCAAACGCAGAACCCAGGTTTCTATTATCAGCAAGCAGCCTACTATGCCCAAGAAAGGAAGCAACTGGCAAGCGTTCTCTGTAATCATGAGGTGAGTCCCAGCCAGCCATATTTCTTCAGTGTTTTTATTATGTAAGCTGTCTTGGGCCCTCTTTAGGGAAGGGGTATGGTGAGTTAAAATTATTTTAATTGATAAATAAATTTGCTGATTTTACAGCCTTCTGTGATGTATCCGAATCCTGATCCAATAGAAACTCAAACTGGAATGCTTGACTTCTATGGACAAAGACCATGGCGGCAAGGAGTACTAAGTAAATAATCTTTTGGTTTCCTATCTAAACATTAGAAACAAAATCAGATTTTTTTATAATGTCAAATTGAGTTGCAATGAAAAATCCAGGGAATCCTGAGTTGCAATGAACATTTCAGGGAATTTTAGGTGACATTTATTGGGCACATGCATTCCAAATATTGTCAATGGGTAACATTTATTTGTTGGTAACCTTTGTTGTTGCAAAAATTAAACAAGTGGATGCCTTTCTGAAATGACTGCTGTTGTGGAAACGCTGAATTGCAGAGTTTGGTCTTTGTTGCTAAGAGCAGTAACTTTCCTAGTAGGCTTGTCCTAATGTCTAGACTTCATATGGGTTTCAAATTCTAGTGTGGTTAATTATTGGAGCCTCTCCCATTTTTTAGAGCAATCCTCTTACAAGAACAAAGAATGTGACTGAATTCCACAACATTCTTTCACCTAAGTGACAGTATTGTTTAGAATCCTCAGAACTCTTAAACCAGACTTAGTTCTAGCATAGTTCCATGAACATGATGACTACAGTTTATTCAGGGCTCGGACAAAACTCCTTAGAATGGATTTTTCATTGTCATTTGCAGGTTTTGATCCAAATGACCCTGAAAAGGAGAAAGTGGGAATTTTGGCACTGCAGCTGAAGGAAAAGAAGGTTCTTCACTCTGTAAGCCAGACCTAAGCAATATTTCTGCTGTTTCACTGACAGTACAAATACGCATTGGAAGTACGAATATTGTCAATGCTTTTTATTTATTAGGAGTTGATCATCACCTTGCTGAGTAATGCAGTAGCCCAGTTCAAGAAGTACAAATGTCCACGAATGAAAAGCCACTTGAGTGAGTAAGCTGAGAGTGTCAAATTGTTAAATATGTACATTAATAATTTCTTATTAGTATTGGAAATAATCTGCCATTGTTCTTGCAGTGGTGCAGATGGGTGAAGAGTATTACTATGCCAAAGATTACACCAAAGCTTTGAAGTGAGTATCATTTCCAGGTGTCTGGTTTTAAAGCTGATGCTTCTTTTTTCTTTTAGCACATTGCTAAGAGCAAAGCTTAATTTTCACTTATAGCTACTAGGCATTTGAAAAAAAACAAACCTCTGTTGAGTGAGTACTACTTCTTGCAACTTTCATCAGTATTTAAAGAAATATGGTTGGGGGGGGGAGGAGACAAGGATCAGGTACAACATCAGTTTGCCTGTGATGTGATTGGCCCTGTCCTTAAATGATTTCCTGTTAGAAGCCTACTTACTTAAAATAATAGACTTACATTATCATTTGGCCTTTTGTGTGTGTGTGTGTGCTTACAACGCAAGCATCGACCATACAAACGCCAGTCTGGCTTTTTTGCTGAAAAGGTGAGAGCCAATTCCTTCTAGCTCCGGGAAGTCTCTTCTGAGCACAAAAAGACTTCTTCTGTTACATGCGTATTCATGTTGTACATGAAGTTTGGCTTACTCTATTGTATCAAATTTGTACTTCGTTTTTTTAAAAAAGGAAGGTTATCCCCGATCCTTTTCAGGGCATTCTTTCTGGTAGGGGAGGCATGTGCTTATATCTGGTGCTAGTTTCTGTTGCTCAGAACCACTGACTGCTTGCACCGTCTCTTGTGAGGGATTGTGACTCTGTGTGTTACAGCATCAAGGCTGGCTAAGAGACTGTTAATCTGGGGAGTGGAGAAGCTGAATGCAGTCTCCGTCCTCTGCACTAAACTAATAGGGCTGAACAGTGCTTTTCAGAAAGTGAATGTCTGAGCGGAATGTAGCCGCACACAAAATGCTATGGATCAAATTATTTAGAAAATTAGGATTAGTGTACCAAGAGCATTCGTAATTCTGTAGTTATGTTTACTGTTTGTGTTTAGTAAGCATAGTAAAATATCTAGCCTTTTACAACCCTAGCTTGCTGTATGTAACAGAAATTATATATGCTTCTGGGTGAGTGACTGTGTAGGAGAAATTGGAAATAAGGTATTGACTATCTGGGAGAGACTGGGAAGAATGGATTGACATCTCCAGTTTACCCAAGTGAAAATGATAATGTTTGTAATAACAGTTCGGTATTTGGAGGAAATTGGTCAATTACTGCATTCCTATCCTTTAGTGTAAAAACAAGGCCTTTGCAGATGAGGAAGGTAAAAGGAATTCCCTCTAGCAACATCATAAAATAACCCAAGTGCCAATTTCTCAATTTTTGAAAATGAATTTGGACACTGTCCTGGCAGTAAGTAAATAGCCAAGAATAGTGTCTCTTCTCAGTTCAGTTTGTTTTAGATACCAATGGAGATGAGTTACATGTTGTTGTTCTTAAGTCTGTTTTGTTTTGGACTCTGAAGGGGACACTAACTGATCATGGGGACTTTTATTCGGTTAACCGTTTGGTTAATATTGTTACTGCTGTAATAGCTGTTCCGTTTGGCTTATTTAAATAAACTGTTTTTCTCAATGTTCTTCCAGGCTCCTGGATTACGTCTTGTGTGATTACCGTAGTGAAGGATGGTGGACTCTCCTTACTTCAATACTGACCACAGCCCTTAAATGTTCCTATCTCATGGCCCAGATAAAAGATTATATTACATACTCCTTAGAGCTTTTGGGAAGAGGTGAGGAAGTTCATTTCAGTTTGCTGTTAAACTGATTCACTTCTTTGCTCTGAGAAGCATTTGGGTAGGGGTCTTTTTTTAATGTAAAGATTGAAAGATATGAGTCTTGCACTTTACCTGGAGTTGGTTCCATATATTCAATCTATGAAGGTCCTTAGTCTCTTAAATGGTGGTCTTAAAAGTTTGAGAGTGAAGAAGAATAAAGCATTCGTCTGCTTATCTTTGCAAAGCTTGAAGAACTCTGCAGATATGGCTGTCATCTGCTTAAATCCTAGATTAATCATACATACATTATTGAGTTGATTTTATCAAATAGATTGCGCATGAATAAAAGGTCATATGCTGCCTTTGAGATACTGGATCATTTTAGAGCCAGTTTGGTATAGTGGTTAAGAGCGGCAGATTCTAATCTGGAGAACGAGGTTTGAATCCCCACTCCTCCACTTGAAGCCAGCTGGTTGACCTTAAGTCAGTCAGTTTTCTCAGCCCAAAAGATAAACCTAGTTCACCACAAACACAGCTAGAGTTTCAGACTGCCAGATAATCTTTGGCTCTCCTGGCTTTACTACACCCACTATGACCCAAATAGGGCTAAGCTAAACCATATAAGTACAAATATAAGTACAAACCATATAAGTACAAATATTTATTAAGGTGTACACGTGTTAAAACTTTCCTGATTAAAAATTGCTTTGTCTAAGATCAGACTGTAAAAGCTTGTCCACTATTCATACAAATGATGGGTAAAAACTTTAAGACCAAACGCGTTTCGGCCCCAAGGGCCTTCCTCAGTGGTCACTATTATCTATATATTCTAGGCACACATTCAAAGACCTGTTACAGAATTCTAGTACACATATAATTACACCAGATGTTGTTTCCTTGTCTACTTATAATTGGACTCCTGGTATTAGTGATGGGCCATAGGTATAGCCATATCACCACCACAACTTATTCTGGTAACAGCGATTTTGTAGGTCTGAATGTGCGTCCCTCCATCAAAGTGGAAATTCTATTTTTTTACTACATCTACTGCCATACAATAATTAATGATAATTATTTAGAGGCGTGCTTTCTGGGGAGTGAGAAAGAGAGGGGAAATGCCTAATGTTGCACTGTGGCTATCAGCAGTTTGTGCATGTATTTATGTAACTATGTTGCCTAATTAATTAGGGAAGGGACACATCTTTATTTGATCAATAGACTTCTAGTCAACTAACCATGTAATTTGCTAAACGTGTGCTCCCCTGCCCATGGGCAAAATGCAGAGAGAGAAAAGTGCTGGTGTGTGTGTTGCAGGCAGGCTCATCGTGCTTTAGTATAAGTGGTAAAAGAGATGCCCCTTTCGGTGCAGTAATCTGGTACCTTTTCCTCTTTTTAAATTGAGCAAATCACAGCACTACATAGGAACTGTTAATAACCATTTCAGAAGACCAGTTTTGGACTGTGGCATCTTCCAGTGAAAGACTCTTAGGTCGAAGGTGCTAGGAAGGTCTCTCCCTGAGACCTTGAAGACATAGCCAGTCAAAGCAGACAACTCAGAACTCGGTTACACTTGATATATGGCAACTTCATATGTTCATGAAGTGGTATAGCAGGCTGAATGCTGGATTAGAACTGAGAAGTCCTGGGTTCAAATCCCCACTCGGCCATGGTATTCCCTTGTGGGCCTTTCACCTCCTCTTAGCCTTGCTTGCTTCACAGGAGGGGACGTGCTGGGAGTGGAAAAGGGAGGCAGAAGGACGTGTGCAGTATCCTCAGCTCCTTGGAGTCAGCATGGGACAAAAATGCAGTGAATTTTTAAAAGCCAGGCCTCCTTTTGGGAGCCTCTACTTTAAGAAGGCAGGTTCCCTTCCTTCTTTCTAGTTATTTATAGAGTGGGAGTATGCACAGAATTGAATTTCATTAAGTACCAAACACGGTAGGCATTCAGGCGCTTTTAATTTGTTCATTGTATGACTTGGCCTTTTCTTCAGTTATAGTTGCTCAAAATCTCCCCTTTGATTGTAGTTTTGAAATATCAGAATGGTTTATACTTTAATTGAAGAGTCCTGTTCCATAAAACTATTCCTGGAAATAAATTAGGAGACAGTTTTCCCTTTTGCGCGTACTACTTCCTTCTGGCCTAGTTCTCAAACTGCAGTTGGGGCAGTAAACATGTGTCTTAGCAGTACCGCTGCCGGCAGGGGCTCAAGTGGTATAGAATCATAGAGTGTTAGAGTTGGAAGGGACCTTGCAGGTCATCTAGTCCAACCCCCTGCACTCTGCAGGAGCATAGCCGAAAGATAGCCCTACGAAAGATGGTCGTCCAGCCTCTGCTTGAAAACGGCCAGTGAAGAAGCATCCACCACCTCCCGAGGCAGTCTGTTCCACTGCTCAAACACTCTTACAGTTAGGAAGTTTCTCCTAATATTTAGTCGGTAACAACTCCCTTGTAATTTCCACCCATTAGAT